TGGGGTTTTTTTTTTGTATGTGTGGTTTTTTGTTTGTTTTTGTTTCATGAGGCTGTTGACCTGTTTGTACTTTCAGTTGAGTTTTGCATGTCCTGTGGTTACTGACTTCCAGTTTAACTCATGGGGTGGGTGAGCTAACACCAATAACACTACTGAGCAGGTTGTATTTAATATTTTCAATGATGAGCCAGTTTTACTCTTTTTAGAAATGCATTTATTTGCACAAAGTGTTGTCACCTATTTTTCTTAAATGCTATTAATAAAAAGAGTATGTTTCTTGTTTTTTTCAATGGGAAAATGGAGAATTGTGCTGAACAGTATCACAGGTGCTGTGTTGCTCTGTGATGCTGTGCAGAATGCACCCTCAGTGTTGCAGGGATCATATGTCCAATTTAAATTGCTGCTGCTACAGTGACTGCAGGGATTTTGTGAGGGTTTCCTCACTGTGACAATTACAAGCATCAGTAACCAAGCAGGTCATGCTGACCAGGGAATTGGTTCTGCTGCCTGTTCCCATTTCCACTCTGTTCTGGTTCTTGCCACAGATCATTATAGCACTGGTCCATTTGGTCATGACCAGAAGATCCCAGCCACTATTTTGCATTCCTGCAGGAAAAAAATGCAAATTGCTTGAAGTGCCAAAGGAAAGGTTTGACTTGTGCCATTTGCTGACACAACTATTTTCTGTACTTGCTAATTCAAGTGTATGAGCTCACTGTCTGAAGTTGTCTGGGGGCTGGACTTGTGAGTAGATGAAAAATGTGCCTGGTAGGCTGCTGCTGCCCAATGGCTGGGGAGTGACTGGTGGAGCATCACGAGTTAAAGTGAAAGTCAAGGCAGAACTTTTTGTTATAACTGTATCAGGAGCTGTCACCATCTGGTACAGATGAAAAGCAAAAGATACATAAAAAGGGAATGATAGTTAAAATCTCTTATGTTGTGTAGAGATACTAGACTAATGGGTGGGTACCTCTGTTACTCTGTGACCTTTTCTGAAACTATCTATGAATGTTACTCAAACTCAACCTTATGTTGCCTATGGGCTTTTTGTTCTCCCTCCTGCACTCCATAAGTTTGCTCCAGAATACACTTTTCTCTGTCTGTGGCACACAGTCTGTACAGACTGAGCACTGCCATCCTTTTGAGGCAAAGTCTCCATTTGTCTTTGCTGTTTTTTTCATTGTGACCACTTTTGCTCTTTTATGTTTCAGTAGACAATGTCATTTTGATGCAGCACACCAGATAAATACAGTAATTTTGTTGAGGCAGACTTTGAGTACTATTGATTATTTATGGAGACATGCTGTTTTAATCAAGTAAATTCATTTAAACTGTCATGGTGAGTCAGTATGATTCTGTGCTTATGCTTCATGCTGGAGAGTAGGTTTGTATTATAGATGATGCTGGTGATTTAGAGGATGTAACAGCATCAGTCAATTGGCACAGGAGTTTGGCTGTGCTGGTTTAGTGTCTCATATAATCTCACAAGTGCTTTGAAAACATTGATGTACAGTTATTTTCAGGGCCCGACTTAAACAAAAGAAGTGTGGGCAGTCAATAAATGCCTCTTCTCTGGTTTGCTGAGTTGCTGGTGCTGCCAGGGGAGGTTCTGTGTGATGCCCTGGCTGGCAGTGCCCTCCAGTGCTGAGCAGAATGTGGGTTAGAGCTGCAGCTGCTCTGCTCCAGCTGCCTCGCCTGGCCTCCAGGCTGGCTGCCTCCCTCCCAGCATTTCTAGGCAGTTACTAATTTTTCCTGACTCCCTGGCCTGGCCTTCAGTCACAAGGCTGTTTTTACCTTTGTGTGAGCATGCAGTAACACCTGACACCAGAACTTGTGTGAGATTAGGTGAGTACCGAGGGTGCTCTAAATGTTGGGGGTCATTCTGGCATGTTTTGATGAGTTGATTCTGGATTGTGTTACATTTTTGGATAGTTATATGGGCAGGTATGCTGCAAAAGGTGTCTGAGAAGTCTTTTACTGACCTGTATTTTAATGTAGGATGCTTTATTAATGACTATCCTTATCATTTTCTAAACCGTTGAAGTATTTTCCATTTAAAATTAGTGTCACTGAAATATTTGGCGTTGTAAAGGTCATCTTTTTCAAGTACTGCATTCACAAAAACAGAATTGTGGCATTGTTTAGGTTGGAAAAGGTCAAGTCCAACCAGTTCCTGAGCACTGCCAAACCCATGGCCAAGCCCTGTCCCTGAGCACCACATCCACAGGGCTGTTAAATCCCTCCAGGGATGGTGCCTCCACCACTGCCCTGGGCAGCCTGTGAAGAAATTTTTCCTAATATCCAATCTAAACCTCAGAGATGGGCATCAATCACTGCATTTTGGGCACGTGTCAGAAGCTGCTGCTCCTGGCACCGAGTTGCACCTTGCTGTGGTGCTCTCTGCCCTCTAAAAGCAGTGGGGGCTTCCTTGGTTCCAAACCAGGTTCCTGCAGCAGCTGCTGGTGGGATTGCCCTTTGCCGTTGATGGAGTCATCCCCTCATGGTGTGGAGATGTTGAGGCTGGGCCAGGACCTGCACTCTGGGTAACAGATCCAGATCAGCAGTGCCTGGATGGCAGGTTAGCAGGGGATGCTCTGCAGTGCTCTGTGACAGTTTGTGCTGGACACCCCAGAGGTGTTCTGCTCTGTGGGTTGTTTTGGTTCATCTGCGTGTCAGAATAGTTCTGGGGGAAGCTAAGGTTGGTTTGCTTTTATTTCTCCCCCCTCCAGGCTTTGTTTTATGTTTTTTAGTTTACCAGTGCTCACTTCAGTGAGTGCTCACAATGCTCATTGTACTGCCAAGGCAGCTCTGCCCTGGAGCTCCTCGTGTGCCAGCCCGGAGGAGCAGAGGCTCCAGGACTGTCTCACACACCTTCACCTGCTTCTCTGCAGCTTCTTGCCACGAAGGAGCTGATGGCAAATTGTGTTGAAAGGCTTTTAATTAACAGCTTCCCAGCAGGAGCTGTTCCTATGCCTCATGAGTTGCAACAGAGCGATGTTTAATTTGTTAGCAAGCCGAAGTGTATTCAAAAGAAAAATCTTTCCACTTTGTAATTTCTTAAATGATGCCTTTCACACGCAATGTTGTAAAGCATCTGATTTGCAATTAAGGCTTACATCTCATTAAGCTTACTCACAAAAACATTTTGCTTAATATGAAGTGAGTAAGATCTCCTATTTTTCAGTCTTTAATTTTTTCTCTTTTTGGCAGCTTTATTTTGTGCAACAACAGTATTAATCTGTGTAGACTGTGCACAAGACCTCTTGTTCCTGGGAGCTTTTTAAAGATTTTACCTTCTCCTTCCTGCTAAGTCTATTTTTTGCTTTTTCCTGTGGTTCCTTCTGTTGTCCCATCTGTTTGGTTGCACTGCTTTATTCTCTCCTGGTGTTTCACATACACTAATCCTTTTACCTTCTATCCTTCACAGCTTTGTTAAACTGCAGTGTGTAGTTCAGTTTTGCTTCTGCCTGCCCTTCACTAGGGTGTTCCAGGATGAGCTATGATTTTTTGAAATTGAGAACTGTTAAAAATTGTTCCTTCCAACTTTCCCCCTCCCTCTCTTTTTACTTTATTTTTATTACTTCTTGCACATGCCATTTTTGGTGCTGTTAGCCTTTGGGAAAAATACTGTAATGACTCTGGTTTCTTGCTTCTCAAAATCTCCAGATCTTTCCATTTTTCCACAGTTTCCAAAAGCTGTAAAGGTAGTTGTTCAAGTAAAATAAGATGGAAAGACCTCAGTCCTGCAAAATGTATGTGTATAATGGATTTCACTTAATGTAATCACACAACTCTTTTTGAGACCAACTCCAGTGGATAAAATAAGTTCAATGATTCCTGAGACGTTTTCAAATACTAGTAATGAAATTAATTGGGGGGGGTGGGGGGTGGGAAGGGAGTGGTGTAGAAAATATCAGAATTTTGAGGTTGTTTTATCAGTACTCAGAGATTAAAATCTTGCTAAGATGGTTAGTTTTTGGAGTCCAGAAGAGTTTTGGTAAGCAAATATGTGTTAATTACATGTGTACATAAGAATTGTCATTCTCAAAAGCAGGAAAAATAAAGAGAGGCCTCTTTCTGTGAGGAAATAAGTTCTGGGGTAAAAAGAGATGGTGGAGGGGAAAAAAAGTTACTTTCTGTCAACAGGTTTGAATGTTCTGTCATAAACAGAACTCAGTTCAAAGGATCTGGGAATCTCAGAAGATTTCTTTCAAGACTGACCAATTTCCTGCAACACACTGTCAGTGCTAGGAGGAGGCATCTCTTTCACATAAGAGCAGCTGGTTGTTTAAAAAAGAAAAAAAGGCATGTAAGGGGGGAGAGCAACCCCCTCTCATCCCTTATATAGAGCAGTTTTCCACAGGAGAACATACATCTGTGAAAACAGGGCACTTGAACAAATTCTGTACTCTTCAGAATGTCATTTTGCAAGGAAAAGAATGTTTGGATGTTTTCAGGAGAGGGCTTGGGTTTTTTGTATTTTTATTTTTGCAATGAGTAACAACTACTGAGGCTTTATTACTTTTTTGTTTATTGTGTAGTGGTATTGACAGTGTTTCTTAGTCTTCATTATCTTAGGCATTGTGAATGTATTAACCCTGTGTTAGCAGGAGTGAGCTTAATTTTATGGAAAATAGAAATCTTTTTTATGTACCTGAAAGTTTTGTTGTGGAAATACAGTTAATCCTATTGTTAGGGTGAGGGCAACTTCTCCATTTTCTTGTTGCCAATTTGAATTGCCTTGTGTTCTTGCCTTTATAGGATAACTGATGCTTCCACATCTGAAATATATATTTGCCACTGTTTTGTTGTTTGCAGGAACCACAGATATCTGAAGATGAAGCCATGAAGAGCAAGCAGAGTGAATAATAATAATAATGCTTTTCCGCAACCGTTTTCTGTTCTTGCTGGCCTTGGCAGCCTTGTTAGCCTTTCTGAGCCTCAGTCTACAATTCTGTAAGTGTCCTCATGCTTTGTTTTTCACCTATGTTGGTCTGTAGGTGTGTTTAAAAATGGCCGTGATTACAGGTTGTTTAAGCATTCTTTCTTTATTGAAATACTTGGCATTTATTTTGGGTGTTTTTGTTTATTTGTAAGGATTTTTGTTTGTTTTCCAAAAAGGTAAGAAACAGTTTTGTGTAGAAATCTATACAATCTAGAGAGTTCAAATCAGGCTATTTTATTAAAAAAACTCCCTGCATTTTGTAGTGCAGTTAAGAAATTGGGTGTGATTTAATCCTTCCATGAAAGTAGACAAAAGACATTGGAGTGAAAACTGATGCAATTCCTATTTTACATTGCATCAGTCCAGATGGAGTTTAGGAAACTGCTGTGAGAGGTTTGAGTGCTGGAACTTCTCCTGCTTTGTACCCTCCCATCAGGAATCTTCACGCAGCTGGATTGGTTCATCAGAAGAACCAAGAACAGATAAATTGTGTTGTGCTCAGGTGGGTCAGTGCAGAGGGCCCTGGCATCCTGGTGGCTGAGCAGGAGGTGGTGCTGAAGGCACTGCAGGTGCCAGGTGAGCACTGTGCCTGTGCCTGGTTATCACCTGCTGCAGCAGAGAGAACATTTCCTGGGTAAAGCCATATTTTGTGATAATGGGGTCTGTACTGATTAATGCACAGCAATGTAGTGAGGTGCACAGTCCATAGGATAGGATAACATTGTTTGTTGTTATTGTCATCTTTCATTGTGTTTTACTGAGCACAGTCCTTCTGGGGTGTGCTTTTTTCTGCATAGTGTAAAAACCCCCAAAACCCACAAGATTACATTAGACTGTCTTTTGCACATGACAGACAACTTAGAAAAAGGGAGAGAGAGAAAATGAAAGAAACTTTGTGGTTTTCTGCTGTTACTTTAGTGTGCTTAAACTCATCTGCATGTAATAAAGGGACCTGTGGCTCTGAATTGCTTTTTCAACCTCCTCTGGGCACAAGCCAGGGGTCTGATTGCAGCTTGTTTTGCCCTTTGGGCTCGTTATAGCTCTGCCCTTGATGTTGGTTATGAATTGTGCATAGGGTGAAGGTCCTAGAGGAGCTGCAGCTGAAACATGAAACTGAATTGTTAACTAAATGAGTTTTATTTAGAGATGAGGAGGTAGGCATTTAGGAGAGTGAATCACATTTCATCTAAAGATAAAATGATTTTCCGCTTAATTAGAACATACCATTTCTGCTAGAGATAAGGGTGTTGGAGAAGTGCTTTGAAAAGCACAGAAGCTGCAGCAGGCGGCCAAGGTGAAGCTCAGTGCCAATAGCAGAATACAGAGACCTTTACATCATGGGAACTGCAGTGCAGTCCACTGGGAGCCAAGACATTCAGATAGCCTGATACTTTAGCTTTTACCAGCTTCAGGATGTAGAGCAATTAGTCCAAACTTGGAGCAAAGTCCATCTTCATAGCAAAACCAAAACCCTCTTGGATCACCTTGTGCAGCTGTGCCAGCTGGGCAGCCTGCAGCTCAGCAGATTCAGGTGAGTTACCAGTGCTATCACTTGTTGCTTTCTTTATCAGGAGCTTTGCCACGGCCTCATCAGTGCCTGTTTCTGCCAGGAAACACTGTTTCTTCACATCCTCAGAATTTGAATTTTGGGATTGGTGAGCTGGCTGGTTGCAGCATTCTTCAATACCAAAATTAGCACGAACTCCTCCTTCTCCATCCAGCACTTAAAACTCCTTTGAAAAAGGGTGAAATTTGAGCTCTTTTACCCCCACTTAGGCAGAGCATCCTGCTACAGGCATGAAAAGACAGACTATGAGGTCTGGAGCAATTCCCCAGTGGAGCTGGTGCAGGGTTTGCAGCACAAGTCTGATCAGGAGTGGCTGAGGGAGCTGGGAGTGTTTAGCCTGGAGAAAAGGGGGCTCAGGGGGATTTTATCACTCTCTACAACTACCCAAAAGGAGGTTGTACAAGGTGGGATTCAGTCTCTTCTCCCAGGTAACAAGTGATAGGACAAGAGGAAATAGTCTCAAGTTGTGCTGGGGGAGGTTTATATTGGATATTCTTCACCAGAAGGGAGGTGTGGCATTGAACAGGCTGCTCAGGGCGGTGGTGGAGCCACCATCCCTGGAGGCAATTCAAAGACATGTAGATGTGGCACTTGGGGTCATGGTTTAGTGGTGAACACGGTGTGCTGGGTTAATGGTTGGTGTTGTTTTAAGAGGTCTTTTCCAAACTAAATGATTGATACTATGGTTTATGTTCGTGGAGTGAAAATGAGTGTTTATACATTTAGACTGGAGAAAATGCCAAAGCCACTGATTTATTTTGTTTTGTTATAAGGGAGGTACCTCCTGAAGCATTTGGAGTGGAAATGAATGTTTTATGCTGTTGTGAGATTGTGAATCTCTGTTAGCAAGCAGTGCACAGCTTTGTGGAGGAGGGCTGGTAATTTTAAAATATGCTTCTGCTTTTCTAAGCATGAAATGTTGAAAATGTTTGTTCCTTTCTGTGATAAATTTGTTTATAAAAGCAAAACAGTAACACTAAATGTATACTTATAAAAGTGGTACATATCTTCTATTTTCAAACTAATGCTTTAGAGCAGACCATAACTCCTCTAAGTGCTTGATATTTTATCCCTCTTACCCACATGTGGAACTGTGGCATTTGAAGCCATTTGATGTGAATTGTGGCTGACTCTGAAGCAAAGGGAGTAGTAAAGGCCAAACTCAGTTGTTTTTCTGTAGGTTCTGACTCAATATTACAAACAGCCCACACTGGGATGGCTGACAAGGTCACAGTCTGGCTCATGCTACAGCTGTGAGGATTCAGGAATTGCTTGCAGCAGTTTGCCACCCATCAAACAGAAAAGGATGCTGGTTTACTTTAATGTGCTGTGCTGGGAAGGACCTGGAACTGCTTTTTGAGCTGTGATTTCCTCAGCTGTGATGAGATGGAGGTGATGGGTGGTCGTGTGAGCAGTCCTAGTAAATCTGTCTTTGCTCAGACTCCTGAGGCAATTGTTTCAGAGCTTGTAGGTGTCACATCTCGAGTTCAGACACAAGGAGAAAAAGACAGGAAAACAACCAGGGTAGGACTTCAGAATCTTCAGTGTTGGTAAGGTGGGCATGAACCCAGGACTGACAGAAAACTGTCCCCTGTTGTGATGTTTGGTTGCTCTTGTCCCTTTCTTTTCTCTTGAGGTTTCTGAGTTCTGTAGTCTGCTTTCCTGTGCTGTTTTCACCACAAGGCTGGTGCTGTGTGTGGATACTAACAGCTCAGCTCACAGGTAAATCATGGAGAAAGTTCCCCCCAAAGTCTCCCTCAAGAGCTCTGAGAGCCTGAAGGGTTCTCTCCCACCGGCAGCTTCAGTGGATGGACACGGAGCAGCTGGCCAGGATCCAGGTCAGAAGCTGCCCTCAGCTCTGTCCCAGGGCCAGGCCAGGCAGCTCCTGGAGCAGCTGGTTTATGTTTGTCACACGTGTGTGCTGCCTTGGCTGGCTGCAGCAAATGCCAGCTGCATCTTCTTCATCTCCGTATCCTGGGTAGAAGGAGACGTGTAAGCAGATTGCTGCACAGCTGGAGACTCTTCTTAAACTGGAACAGTCATTCTTCAGGCTGATGTGGTGCTTGGATCCTGTGAGACACACTCCTTCCTGCCAGGGTCCTCTGTCCTGTGCATTTTGGGCAATGGGGCACTTGCCTGGTTCTGCTCTTTACCTCCTTGAAGAGCAGCACAAGGACCAGGGTCTGTTGGGCTTTGTCTGCCCATGGGGCTCGCTGCTTTCCTGGCAATTTCACCAAGATAGGGGAACTTGCTTCTGGAAGTCCTACTGTTTTCAAGTTCTGTGTGTTTATTGACATAAATAATGCCACAGTTTTTTTTTTTTTCTTTTTTTTGAACATTCCTGGTGGATGATGGGTGAAATGCATTTGAGACACATTTGAAAAATTACTAGGATATTTTAATACCTGTTCATAGTTTTGTCAGGTTTGGTTACCATTTCTAGTAGGCACATAGAAGACTTTTAACAAGGAGTTTATACTTGCTGAAAACGTACAAACCTTAACAGTTCTAGGCATCTTTAATGTAATTGTGTGGCCTGGACTTCGAAGCTAAAGGCTGGGGCCAGATGTGCCCTCAAATTCAGTTTTGCTCTTAATGCATTGTACAGAGTTAAACCTGGAGCAATCAGCAATAGAGGGAACCTCTCTTGAATGGCAAATGCCACTGGATTTTGTACATGTTTGAATTTTTAAATAGTATAGGAAAATGACAGTGTTAAAAGCTAATACGAAGAAACGTTCCACTGCTGGCTAGAAGACTACTCTGATGTCTCTAATGGATAATTATATCAATGGAACATTTTTGTTTGGGAAGCCCATTGGACTGGAAAACTGGTTGACTTCCAACCATGACTAGCAGATTAAAGTTTTATTAGGAATTGTCTTTGTTTCTCTCTTGTTTTACATTTGGGGCCAGATCTACAGAAAAGAGTGGAGAAGTATTTTTCTTATAGTGTTTATTAGTCCACATGTGTTTCTATTTTTCTCCTCTTTGTTTATGTAAATGGTCATGGTTGTAAAACAGTTTAAAACTTTAGCATTAGAGACAAAAGGAGAGCTGGTTTTGATAGACTTGTCAGTAAGGCTGTTCTAAAATGTAATTATGTTGTTTTTATCTAAATTTTTTGGTGTTTCGCTTTGTCAGAAAAACTACAGAATGGAAAAATGACCTGTGCTAGACTGTGTATTTTTGTCTCTGAAAATATTACCTGTAATGCTGTTGACTAAAAATGGGCAGTTTTGTTCAGTACAAACATAGAGAATATATGTAGGGATACTTCATTTTTTTTTGCCAGAAGAAGGGGTTGCAGTGGCTGAGGTCTTTCTTCTTGCTCTGACTGCCTAGAGCAGTGCAAAGGGAAGGTAAATGCAGTGGCTGGGGGCAATTCTTGCAGTTCAGGGACAGAGTATGGCAGTGCACCTGCACCCAAAGGATGTGTCAGAATCCAGCTGTGGTCCTGAAGCCTCAAATGAAGGAGATAAGACAGAATTTTGGACCCTGTCAATGTTAATTGCATTGGTTAGCTCAGGAATGGGAGTTTACAAGTAGGCCTAAAGAGCAGCTTTCTTTTTTCTCCAACGATTGGTACCTGAGAACCCAATTACTGGGCAAGCCCAGGCCTTTCATTACATTGGAAACATCTGTGACTGGCAGCAGAAGCCTCAAGGTGGGTCTCCTCAGGAGGTTTCAAAAATCTGTCCATGCGTTTCCTTGAATAAGCCAAATGGCAAGGCAATTTAAAAGCTATCTGTTAGGATGCCATGTGTACACTCTGTAAAATTTGCTTGACAATGATTTTTTTTTTTACTCTGTAATCAAAGGCATGTAAATTAATTTTTCCATGAAGTAAATACTTTTGGTTTTTAGGGTTTTCTTTCCTATTTATTGAAAGCCTAAGGGAAAAAGTAACAGTCAAGAGAAGAGGATTAAAATGATGGTAGGAAAGCATCCCTTTTTACAGGGTTGCTTTTTCTAACCTTGTGGCTGACATCAGTTCCAGACTGCCCTTCTGAGGGCTCTGGCTCTTGGGCAGCTCTTGCCCATGGAGCTCCTCTTCTGGTTTAGAGTTTGTTTTCCTACATACTTGGATACTTTGATCAATGTCTTAGGCTTTCCTTTTGATAAAAAAGAATTTTGGTGACTGCCACTGCTTTTTAGGATGTTGACCACTGCCCCAGGACAGTGCTGGTCCCCATGTAAAGTGTGGAAAGCTATTTTGTGGGGTTTTGGGGTTTTTAAAAATACTCTCTCTGCTTCGATGGGCCATGTTTGGGTGTTGGTGTATCAACATGTCTGGAAGTGACATTTTGCTGTTCCAGTAATAATTTCCCTCTACTTTCTGTGATTTGATTTTGCACTGGAGGTTTTGGTTTTAAAGATGAGTCATAGGAAACAGAAATTGGGATTTTCCACACAGAAGAGCAGAAGAGTTTTATTTTGTTGGCTCGAGCTTTGCCAGCAGCTCTCACTTGGTGAGGTCAGTGAGGGCATCATATGCAGCCCTGAGGTGTTTGGGGTTTAGCCTGAGATCCTCACCAGGGCTTCCTGCAGCCCCTGCTGGGGGCCAGAGCCCATGGCCAGTGGCTGCATGGATGGGTTATTACATTTTGCTGGTGTATACAAGTAACTATATTTAAAAAAGCCACAGCTTTAGAATTCTTGATGTAGAGAACTTGTTTTTGTCATGTGTTACCAGCATATGAAATTAAAAGAACAGATATCTCCCTCTATGAATTTTGCCTTTGAGCTCATAAGCATGGCAAATTTTCCACTCATGAGAAGTCTCTCTGGATTTTGTTTCTTCGAAGTGCTAATTTAATCTGTATTTAAGATTAAAGAGAAAAATGACCCAGAAATAATAAATCCAAGGCTCTGTATATTTTAGCAGCCAATGAAGAGAGCTAACTGTAAACACAGAAATTTTTGTTAAGGATCCTTTTTATGTTTGTAACTGGAGTTTTAAA